CTCCCTGGGCAGCACATTCCAATGCCTGAGCACTCTCTCTCTAAAAAATCTCTTCCTAGTCTCCAACCTAACCCTCCCCTGGCAGAGCTTGAGTCTGTGCCCTCTTGTCCTGCTGCTGGTTGCCTGGGAGAAGAGACCAACCCCCACCTGACTCCAACCTCCTGTCAGGGAGTTGCAGAGGGTGCTAAGGTCTCCCCTGAGCCTCCTCTGCTCCAGGCTGAACACCCCCAGCTCCCTCACCCTCTCCTCATGGCACTTGTGCTCCAGTCCCTTCCCCAGCCTCGTTGCTCTTCTCTGGACCTGCTCCAGCACCTCAATATCCTTCCTGAATTGAGGGGCCCAGAACCAGTAGCAACTGCTCAAACCTGCTCAGGAGTGAGTACTTTGTACCCATCTTGTGTGTCCATGTGTGTCTAATGGTCTCGTGTTTAAATACAGTCACACACAAGGGACTGAAGGAAAGCAGAATGTGGGTCTCTTGTATATGGATTTGTGCTTTTGTACATGGTTTTATTCCAGGGTAGGAGTGAAGGGACTGGATATTGAGGTTGGCTGGTTTGTGCCAGCATAGATTACAAAACAACACAGACAGGTAACAAAGGCTGGTTCAGTTGGTTAATGCTAGTATTTTAATGTTCATTTCTTAAGAGGCAATATGAACACTCCCATCAGAGGTGAGAAGCTCTGAAGTTAGACATTTATCCATGCAAGGTGTTAAAACCTTGGCAGTGCACTCAGCCAGAATCCTGACAAAGTCACTGACATACCCTGACTGGTGAGTAGTGCAACACTGTCAGGCTGCAGTTACAATGGTCATAGGTTGTCCTGTGAAGCAGAACTGGAAAGAGGAACCAAGGCAGCCAAAAGCCATGCACCATTCTGGGGCTGAGCAGCAGCTCAGTGCTGCCCATGGGGCACTGCATTGCTGCAGCACAGTGAGAGGCAGACAGACCCAGCTGTGTGCTGTGCAAACACTGGGCAAGGTTATACAGGCAGATTTTCTTCAATCTGAAAGAAGCCCAGGTTCTGGTCCTGTTTGCCAAAGCCTCTGGCAGTGCTTGGGGTGACTGTTCTGGGCCTCCTGTGTCCATCAGTTCACACCTCCCTCCATCTGCAGCACTGCACTCACTGCACAGCCACACTGTGACGGGGACTGCGCTGCCAGATCACCTCCAGCCTGACTCACAGCAGCTCAGATCCTCCCTCAGCAAGAATCCCTGCACTGTTTGTTAGTACACCTCAGGCTAAACCCAAGGGCTCTCTGAAATTAATGCATTTGTGCTCTCCTAGAAGCAGCCACTGAGCAGGTCTGGGGGTGAGTCTCAGCCCATGGTGGAGAATGGTGCCATGGGAGCACCATGCCAGGTATACAGGCCTCTTCCCTGTCCAGTCCTTGTCCAGTCCCAAGGGTCAGACTGCCCCATGGGCCCCTCTTGCTGTCAGAGTGCTTTTTTAGGCTCCCCACATCTGGAACAGTTGGTGTCAGCCTCTTGATGTTACTCAACACTTCACCACGCTGCTGAGATAGTAAGTGCATAATCCTCACAACACCCTTTCAAGAGGGTGAGACACTGTTCTCTCCACTGAGCAGTTGGAGAATACAGGCCAGTGTTTTCAACAAGCCACTGATCTTGACCAAGTGACTTGCTCCACTCAGCAGCAGAGCACGATTCACGTGCCCCATGTGCACCATTCCAGATCGGTGTATTTAATTGATGCAGGAAGAAGATTAAGGTCTCATAGTCCTAAATTGTAATTATCTCTGTGGGAAACAGCAGCACAGTGTCGAAGGCCTCTGTAAGCCAGCAGAGATGTAATGAGGTTCAGATCCACTCAGGCTGTAACAGCACAGGGAACAGCTCAGATAATTGGAACAGCTTGCCCAGAGAAGCTGTTGCTGTCCCATCCCTGGAAGTGTTCAAGGCTAGGTTGGCACAGAGCAGTCTGGTCTAGTGGAAGGGGTTCCTGCCAATGGCAGAGGGGTGGAATGAGAGGATTTTTCAGGCCCCTTCCAACCCAAACCTTCTGTGATTCAATGGTTCTATGAATTAACCAAGGATTCAGCACATGCTCACCAGTGCCAAATGGTTTTTAATCAAAAGGAAATTTCTGCTAGGACCTTCGGTTAACTGTAGGGATAGATTAGACATTCTGGTTTTATGGAACATTAGGTGGGGCTAATGTGACTGTTCCCAGCTCACGTGGAAACCACTGGACCCTTGGATGATGTAGTGAGACTGCCACAATGCTAGGGAGCCTGAAGCCATGGGATCCCATAGCATTGCCATCCCTTAGGAATCATGTCTGAGCTGCAGCTGGGTCTCCTCTTTGGGACAAGACCAGAGGAAAGATCTGCTCCCTTTCCATCCTTTTGGCAGCTCTTAAGAGGCAGTGGTGAGCACACAAGGAGGGAACAAAATCCTCCCTCCTCCACTTTCTCCTCTCTTATCTTCTCTATGTTCAGCTTACCCTTCTGCCTGCCCTGTATCCTTTCCCTTTCTCTGCCATCCCTGCTCCCTTTCCACCAGAAATGGGATGGTGAGATACCTCTGCCCACACTCCATCCCTCCTCCTTTCCTCCTTTCTCCCTTGCCCTCTCCTGGGAGGATTGTGGTCCTTCAGGGATGCCCAGTATCCCACACAACCATGGGCTGGTTTTCCTGGAGAAAGGCTTTTTATAGCATCTCTTCCAAAGAGTTTGACAGCAATCTGGAAACACCAACTGCTTATCTCCAGTGCAGACCCTTCTGATCCGGTGGGTGCAGTGCTGCAGAGCTCAGGCCAAGATCTATTAATAGAGTGTGAAGTGGCTGAGGGTCGGAGGGCACATGATGGAAGGGCCAACTGTGCCTTTCCTGCTCTTGGGAGCTCCTAGTATGGTCTGTTAGATAGGGAGCATGACCAAGTCAGGGATGAGGAAATGAGGGATTTGGAGAACATATGGTGTAGGGTGGAGTACACAGGGTTAGGGAGTAAGAGATCTGAATCCCTTAGAGACTCAACTGATCATAGATATTTTTAGAGAGGGGGAGACAACTGTAGCACTGCACAAGGACACTAACTTCTTTCTTGTGTTGAAACTCTCTTTTCATTATCAACATTATGCATGACCATCAGCAAAACAGTCATGCATATAGCATCAGATACTAGGAATATTAGATTTAGATAGCTACTGAGAAGAAATTTGTCCCTGTGAGGATGCTGAGGCACTGGCACAGGTTGCTCAGAGAAGTTCCAGGCCAGGTTGAGAGAAACCAGGTCTTGGAGAAACCTGGTCCAGTGGAAGGTGTCCCAGCCCATGGCAGGGAGCTGGAAAAGATGATCTTTAAGGTCTCGAAGGTGTCCCAGCCCATGGCAGGGAACTGGAAAAGATGATGTTTAAGGTCTCATCCAACCCAAACCATTCCATGATTCTATTCTATAATTTTTTTTTCCATTTCTGGCATTCCCAATTTTAAGCATCACTTCCTAAAGCATTCCTGTGATGTTGGGCACTGCTCTTCCTGTGCCTCAGTTTCCAGGGAGCCATTCCTGAGAAGGTGCACAGTGACCAACACTACAACACACTCAGGTTCTCACACACAGCCTCACCCTCAGGCTCTGAACACTTATTTCCATCCTGGACATATGTTTCAGGTCAGGATCAAAAACTCCAGCCCATACTGTAGCTACAAAATCCCAGGTCCTTTGTAGCCACATCATGTAGAAACCTCCTTCTGATTCACTCTTTCTCAAGCCCATGTGGACTGCAAGGAGGGAAAAAGAAAAACAAAACACTTCCGATAGCGAATTTTTTCCAAGCCTGAGATCATTGCTGAAGTGCAAATAGTCACCCTTGTTGGTGTGGCCACATCACACACAAGGTGGTGGGATGCAGGAGAAGCTGGAGGAGCACAGAAATAATTATTAGGCTTTTAGCTTTCTGGCTTGTTGAGACAAGGGAGAGGTGCCAGAGGTGCTTACGGTTTGGAAGGATGGGAGCTAACCCCTGAATCCAACTGGTGGGAAGGACTGTCCCATTACCAGTGGCCAAGGAAACCACCCTGTCAGGCTTCCACACTGGAAAACACACTAGAGGAAAAGGAAATTTTCCAGTGCTGCCCTGTGGTGAGAGTGTAATTTGGAGTCCAAGTTTCTGATGGCTGGGAAGGCTTTGAAGATGGGTGCTATGGAGCCAGGAGAAATGCAGCCACTCTGGAGCAGCCAGGGCCCTCCTGTTTGCTTAGGAAACAACTACAAATAGGATGCAGAAAGCACAATAAGACTCTTCCAGAGTGAACAGAGGGAAAACCGTCTCCCATGAGGGTTCAGGAGGTTCAAAACCTCCAGCTACGAGAAGTTCAGAAGAAGAGTGTGATAGAGGAGCTGCCCTGTCCAGTGCATGATTTTTCACATCTTCTGCTGAAGCCTGTGGTGCTGAGGGCTGTCAGAGACAGCCTGACCTCCACTCAGATCCAGTCTCACAGTCCTTGGGACACTTTCCTTTGAAAATGAGAAATTTCTGTCGAGGCTGCAGAGTGCCAATTTGTTTGACAGCCAAAAGTGTTGCGTTACCGTGTGAGCACAGGCAGATGGGTTGGACAGTGACCTTGTCAGAGCACATTTCCTGAGTGGGACAAGACAGGCTTAAAAGCTCAAGTGCCCCAAGAGAAGGTGCTAAGCCAGGCTGATATGATAAAGAGCACTGAGCTGCTGAGCTGGGAGGGCAGGATGGTGTCAGAGATAGAGACCTGGCTGGGGAATTGGGATGTCTGACTCCTTCTCTTGCTGCCTTTTCAGCACAGCTGGGGAATTCTGGTTTCCCTCTTTCTTATCTTGATATCAAGATTGGAATTGCAGGACAGTGGCTTTGTGCCCTTTAGGAGGATGCCAAGTACCTCTTGCCCTGGCACAGCTGATCAGGGAGGTTGGTGTGGTGCTGTTATTGTGAGAGTTATCAGAGTTGGCAGGTCCATGTGGCAGCTGTAGATGTTCTGAAGAACCTGCAGTTAGTCAGTGAGACTGTCTTCTTCTGGGGCATTGTCATCTCAAGGCTCATTGTGAAGAGACCTTATTGCTGGGTTTGTTACTGAATGGATCCAGGTAAAAATAACCCTCCAAACCACAGAGTTTGCACAACCTGGAATGCCTCTGCCCAGTGGAGATGGAGGGTTGAGGGGTAGTCCAAGACCACAGACAGAATTTGGGTGTCCTGATTGGGCCAGTCTCTTTCTCTCCATCACCTACAGAGGAGGCAGATTACACCCCAAAAGCTCAAGGATTATTGATAGCCCACAGCTCTGTAAGCTGAAGAGCTTTGGGAATATCCCAAGGATCCTGCAGCCTGGACAGAGCAGACCATCTGTGTCAGGACCTTGTCCCTTTGCCTTGTGCTGGCTCTAGCTCTGCTCAGACACTGTTGGGTGTTTGACTTAGACTCTCTTCGCAGAATGTCATTCCTCTGTGTTTCTTTCCCTCTCCAGAGGAGTTCCTCTCCAGCCTGGATCACTATGAAATTGCATTCCCCATCCAAGTGGACCAGAACGGGGACTTCCTCACCTTTGACATGAGACGCCAGCTGAAGCCCCGGCCCCGGCGCAGTCTGGGCTCCTTGGCCTACGAGCCATCCGAGCAGCAAGTTTTCTACAAGGTCTCTGCCCACCGAACCCAGTTCCTCCTCAACCTGACCCTGCACTCCAACCTGCTGGCTGAGCACTTCACTGTGGAATACTGGAAGCGAGATGGCATGGACTGGCAGCATGACTTCCACGAGGACTGTCACTATGCTGGCCACCTCCAGGATCAATACCTGAACTCCAAGGTGGCCATCAGCAACTGCAATGGACTGGTGAGTCTCTGTGGTTTGCCCAGCCAAGGGCAATGCCAACAAGTAGAGCTGTCCATAGAGCACAGCTGATTGCAGCCTCTTGGGTCATTGCTGTAGAAGTGCAACCAGGTGTGGATCTCAGCAGGTGGATCCATGTGGTGGGAAAGGTTTGGGATTGGTGTCGAGTGAGAATATTGCACACTGGTGTTAAAAGTCAGCGGAGGGTGAAGACAGCCACATCCCTCATCACATCTGTAGGGGTTCCTGCTCCATGTTTCACTTGTAGACCAGTGTCTGCCAAAATCAGTGGGCATTTTTCCATGGATTTTAATTGGAATGGGATAATCCAGGCTCTAGACCATTATTCTGGCTCTCACAGAACTCTCCCCACCACTTCCAACAGCAACAGCAGAAGATATGTTTTGCATGTGCGAGTGAGGAAGTGCAGGAGGGCAGGAATTTCACAGCACCACTGGAATTTCAAAAGTGCATTGAGATCCCTTCAATTGTAGATGCATTCCTGGGCTTCCCAGTCACATCTGCCTGTATTTCAGGAGCTAAAAATGTCACTTTTGGGAGAAAAGCTGGAGTAACCAGTTTTTCAATAGGAAAAAAAGAACATCAAGAGGGGACAAGATAGCATTCCTCAAAACCAGAAAGGCTGCAGGAAAAAGGGTGGGAATGATTGATTTTGCAAGTCCTAACAGCTCAGACTAGGCATCGTGGTCTTAAATATCAGCAAGAAAGCTGAATGGTCACATCAGTGGCAAGGACAGCTAAACTCTGGACTAGATTGATTGGAGAGTGCAAGATCATTGGAGATCTTTAAGAGCAGGCCAGACAAATGCCTTTCAAAAATCCTCCAGGTATGATTCATTAGCTCTTCCAGCAGTAGGAATAGACTAAGGACTTTCATTCCTATTTTTCTGCGATTTTCTGATATTTCTGGCTCACAAAGCACATTTCCTGACCTGCCAGATGGAGCAAACATACCCTGTTAGTGAATCCCAAGGGTGATGGCTCCCTTGGAGGGGTAACATGCAGAAAAAGACTCTGTAGGCCAGGTTCATATTTATGCTCCAGCCCCACCTCTGAGCAGTATTCTGGCAGTGTGGAAGAGCTTCCAAATGGGAATGAATTCGCATTTGATTTATTGCTAAAATACACTGCCAGAACAGTGCTGTGGGTTATTAACAGAAATGAGAATCTGACTCATTATATCATAGAGTCTAATGTTTCCATCTCACAGCCAAAAATCAGAGCTGCATAAACTCTTGGTTCCCCAGTCAGCCCTTTGTTTAGACATGGGAACTCTGCTGAAGTTCCCAGACAATCTACTGGTGTTCACAAAGGCACTGAAGGGTGAGCTGGATGCTGCTCTCTCCGGAGGGATCTGGCACCACTCTGCCTTCCCACTTCAGAGGGCAGCATGTCCAGGGCAAGCAATGGCCCAGCAGCACTTTGAACTGGGGTAATTTAGTCCTCAGGCTGTGTTTAGCTCTGGAGAGATACCAAGGGCTGTCTGGAGGAAAACGCAGCCAGGCACAAAGAGGGATGGAGAGTCATCCAACAATCTCTCCTTTTCCTGAACTCTGTCTTTCTGCCCTCGAGAGTTATGGACATCAGCAAGGATGGGGGAGGAGGTCTTCTGGGTCAGTGAGGATGATAGGATCAGGAATTTGGACAAGAGGAGTCTGGAATCTGTTTAGCTGTCAGAGTGGGGGCTGTACTTAACCCCAGAGAAGATCTTTTCAGTGCTCTGGTTGATCAGTAACAGCTGATCCACTTGTGCCATCCCTTGCTCCCTCCAGGCAGGCACCATCTGGTTTGGAGGAAATGGCTAGGGACAGGGGAGGGTCCCCAGTTGCTGAGGTCTCCAGGTCCAGGTTCATGCTGCCACATGCTGAGGGGGGAGCTGCACACAGTAACCCATGTTTGTGCAGACCTGACTCACTGATGCTGCACAGGGAGTTGTGTGTTGTGACCTTGAAGAGGCACAGGCAGGGACCAGGTGCTGAGTATGGGGTGAGATGTGCGTGGGGAGGAGGGAAAGGGATGGTTGTGTCCAACACAAACCTGTAAAAACAGTAACAAGCTCCAAGCCATCCTCCTGTTCTCAAACTCCCACATCCCTCAGGAATTTTTGTGTCTGTAAGGAGTACCATTATAAACTGCTTTGTTTTTGAACACCCTCCCGATGCAACTCTCACAGCACATCAGCTTTGATGCCAATATCTGAGCATACTCCTATTGGCATCTTCTTCCTGGCCACAGGCACCATCACACTGGCCTGAGGGCAGGCAGGCTGCATGGCTCACCTCACACATCTCCCATGGAGGTCACACTGTGCTGGGCCTCAGGCTCAGCGAGAGAAAATCACCCAGGCTTAAGCTGTCGGAAGCAAAGGGCAACATGGTCCATTTTTCAAAACACACAGAGCTGTGAGCTGCCAGCAGAGCCAAGCACAGAGCAGCTGCAGCCTGGGCAGCTTTGCCTCAGCCTGGCCAGGAGTTGAAATCCCTGTCTCAAGCAAAGCCATGTTTCATCCCACTGGCTGCATGAGATCCAAAGGATCTGTGTCCTACCATCAAAACAGTCAGTGAGGAGAAAAGAGTGAGGAGAGAAACGCCACTCTCTTACATCTTGTGTTAAAGCTCATCAAGGGACAGCTGAAAGGCCAAGTTTCAACCCTGTGTCATCAGGGGAACATAGGATGGCTTGGGTTGGAAAGGATCTTAGATATTACCTAGGCCAACCCCTGCCATGGGCAGGGACATCTTCCACTAGATCAGGTTGCTCCAAGTACCATCCAACAGGATCTTGAACACCTCCATGGATGGGGCAGCCACAGCTGCTCTGTGTGTGTGCTGAAATGATGCTTTCACCTGAAAAGGCCTCTGAAGTCAGCATGAACACGAACACTTGGAGCAGGGCAGATGGCCCTGCTGCTGAGGCAGATGATGAACTGTGTATGTACAAGGAGGTGGAAGAGCTGAATCGCAGTTGTTCTTTTCTGAAGTGTGGTCATAAGCTAATAGCATAAACCATCCTTGCTCTGCAGATGACCTGGGTGAATCATAGGCAGGATATTCAGTTCAGCTCCCCCACAAACCACAGGGATCTCCCTAAGGGCTTCTCACCACTCTCTTTCAACAGCCTTGTGTCATGGCCAGTGCTTGGACCTCAGAGCTCAGTCCTTGGGGTCAGTGATGGGACTCTTTTCAGACTCCTACGATGGCCAAGCTTTGTTGCCGGAGGATGCCAGGCAGGCGGTGGAGTTTCTCGTGCTCTGCAGAGGGTTGGAGTAAGAGCATCCCTTTTGCAGTGGTACATGAGTTTTGGGCAGGACATGGTCTCCCCTCCTTGTGCTCTGTCCCAAGCTGGTGGTGACCTCCTTCTCCCCATCCCATAAAGCCAGCAGCCAGCTGGCTTCCCCGGCCGACACTCGGCTTTCCGCCGGAGCCCTCGCCAGGCTAACCTCACAGTACCTCACTTGTGTTTGAAAAGGTGGAGCTGAGCCAAGAGCAACAGAGCCTGGTGCAGGAGGAAATCCCTGGGCACTCTGGAGATGGGGACTTCGCTGCACACACACTGCCCTGATTCAGCTTTCAGGGCAGGGAGGGAGAGAGGGAGAGCCTGATGATGGAGGGAGCGTCCACCCCGGAGAGACTGTCCCCATGAACACCCAGCAATAGTGCTGTTACACAGGTGGTACCTTCCATGCAAAGGCCTCAAGGTGTTTTACAGAGAGCTGCTTCTCCACTCTCCATTCTGGCAGAGCAGGGCTCCTGTCCTCCGTGCACAGAGGGAGCTGATAAAGTGCTGTGACATCCAAAGGACATCACTGGTGCTGAGCTGGTGACAGGGCAGGGCTGTCTCTGCACTCAGATGTATGGTTGCACACAAGGAGTGGGAGGACAGTGAGGTAATGTGAGTCTTGGACTTTTGGGATCATGCTTGAGCCATGTCAAGTATATTTCTGTGCCTTGGTTGCTTGCTGGTAAAGTTCAGTTGATGGCACAGCACATTTCTTGGAGACTCAATGCCAGGAGTTGTTACAGAGATGGAGCTTATGTTGGGCTCCCAGAAACTCTAGGTTGCTCAGACTCTTCAGGCAGAGGGAAAGCTTGCTGTGAGGATCAGACCAGCTGCAGAGGAAGGATCTTGCAAGCACCTGGTGGGTTTGGCTGCTCATCCTGCTGGGGTCTGGTCATCACTGTCTCCTAAGTAGGTCCACTTGCAGAGAGCAAAGCCTGGGCTTACAGCTGAGCTGCAGTCAGTCAAAGAACTAAAGACCCCAAACAAATAAGAGAGCATAAACAAGATCATCCAACTGAGGTGGCCAGTCCAAGGTGTACAAGGTGCTGTGATGCCCATTCCAGGCTGCAGAGAAGGGTTGTGGCTCCTGCTGGTTGTCTCTGGCTAATCAGACTTCAGATTTTAAAGATTTGATGTGTTTCTCCAAAGTTGCTGAGCATCCGCACTTCTCTGCAGCTCTGTGCTTCAGTTTCTTACCTGGTGGTGATGGTCCTGAGCTGCTTTCAAAGGTCCTTTGGTGAGGTTAAAAAGTACAGGAGGCAAATCCCCTTGCTCAGTTGTGCTGTTATTTGACTGTATGGTATTTAGGATCCCACGGGCAGCCCTCAATGAGACTGAGTGGGTGGAATAGGAAACAACTCATTCATAATTTAGCAAGGAAAGACTGTGATTTCCAGAGGACTTTAGTGAACACAGATGTCCCAAGGCATCCATGACCATCTGGCTCAGTTTTCTCTGGTCTGTAGGTTCATATAGTTCAGTGTTTGTGCGTAAACGCAAGATTCCTTTGCATTTTCCAAAGCATTTGTCAGTCCCCAGAAATTCAGTGGTTAATCATCAGAAAGCTCACTATGGGAAGCCACCAGTATGGCCCCCCCAAGTTCTCTTTTCACCTCTTTTTATTGCCTTCCCTCTCCTGCAGCACGGGGTGATCGTCGCAGATGAGGAGGAATATTTCATTGAGCCTCTGAGCCCTGGAGCCAACGTCAGCACAGGGAGTGAGGGCAAGGGCAGCCCCCACGTCGTGTACAAGCGCTCATCTCTCCAGTACCCACACATGGATGCAGCCTGTGGAGTGCTAGGTATCTGTACCCACAGCAATTCCTCAATCCATCCCACTACAGGTTGGGAATATCCCAACAGAACAGGCTTTGGATGTCCACACTGCTCTAGGTGGCAAAGAACCAAATTTATCTCTTGCATTCAAGAAAGTTTTCTGGTGTTTGCTTTTACCCCTGTTAAGCATTTCTGGTGGCCTGGTCTTTGGAAAGCTCTCCTACTCTGCTCTTCACAGCAACAATTTGTAAATAGAAGATGGAATAGAAAAGGAAAAAATGCCTCTTATTGTTCTTAAGAAAAATTCTCCCAGATTTGGCTGGCTTACAGTGTATTGAGAAATCGCAGCTTACGCATGATCAGCAGAGATTTGTCTTTGGGTTTCAGTCACTGGAGATCATGTCCACGTTGAGATAGCTCTGATGCTGTTAGAGACAAGGTGGAAAGATGCCTTGGAGAGTGGGATGTGGGACCTGGCTGGCCACAGGGGTCTCTGGGGGATGTTTAGAGAGAATGGCAACTGTACATCTATCCCAGTGTTGTGTTTACAGGCCTTTGGCTTCCTAAAGGACTCACACAGATCTGCCCTGGCCCCTCCTCACACACCCTTCTCCTCCTGCTCTTCTTGTCACTCTGTGTCCCAGAGCCTGGCTGAAATCCCCAGCCCTTGTGAATAGGCAAAGTTTCTCCATCTACCCAAAACGTTGCATGCCCACAGAATGACACTCCCTCAGTTTACAGAGGTTTCCCCAGGCTCCACCAGGATGAGAGGAGATGCCATCCCTGCACAGGAGCTGGCTGACTTTTTATGGATCAGTTTGTTCCCAGCTGCTCCTGTAGGTTTGTGTGTCACTTCTGGATGTTCATTCACTGCCCCAGTGGTGGCACTTGACCAAGATGAAGGGTCACTGCTGGAAAGGATGGAACCTCTGGAGAATCCAAGGCACTGCCACTCTGCTCTGAGCAGGCTCTGAGTTTCCCCAGATCCATCAGCATCTCTGGAGACATCCTGTGCTTCCCTGGCCCAGCTCCTCCCATCCCAGCTCCCAAAGCCACGTTGGATGAAGCTCCAGCAGACTCCCCTTCTGCTGACTCTTTGCCACATTCCCTAGCTTCCAGAAAAAATTTAGCCTGCTCCTAATTGCTTCTTGGAAAGCAAAGACTGTGCAGTGGGAGCCATAGGCCAAATACAGTTCAGAACAACCAGAGTGCAACTGTGCAAAGCTGCCCTGTCCCCTCGTCCTGCAGACTGGATCTGTCCTGATCTGCTCAGCTCACCTGGTGTTTCAGCACCCCCACAACCTCCCTCAGATCAACTGGAGGAGCCAAAGCTAATAGGTTTTGGGGCTGCCTGTGGTCTGCCCATCTCCCCAGTCATGCTGGATGTGTAATTATGCAGCATCAGAGCAGAGGAAAAGGACCCAGCCAACATTCCTGGCAGGGCAGACTGTAGTCACCCACTCAGCTCTCCTCCCTGTGCTCTCCAGGCTAAGGGTTTGGATCTGATGGCCCTGATATGGACATCCCTAGGGTTGGGTCAATAGCACTTGAAGCCTGGAGCAAAGTCCTACAAACCTCCTGATTTGGAGGTTGCAGACACTTCTGTGGAGGAAAAGCCAAGTCCTAAATTCAGATCCTGGCAGGATCTGAAAAGAGGAAATGATCTGCAATGGCTTTATTTTCAAGTCATGTCTATATAGTCTCTAAATCCACCCTGGGACAGAGGTGAGGGCAGGACTGTGCAGCACAGAGGTGTGTGGGGCTACAGCAGGATGGGCACACACTTCCTGAGCAGGAGGGCAGGTAGGATGCCAGCAGGGTTGGCAGGAGCACAGGGATAGCCCTGGGCTGCAGCAAGGACATTTTCCACAGGCTGAACGAATGCTACCTACAGGGCAGTGGATCAGCAATGCTGAGTGAGCTTCTGAATTACATTTAAGCAGCTCCTTTAGCTATGCCCAAAGTGTCTTCTCTTTAGAAGGACACAAACATTTGTAAGCAAATATATTCAGAAATAAGTGATGGTTCATGCAGTTTATTTTTAATTGTGACTTTTCCACTTAGATATTTTGTTATATGGCATTATTTTCCAAACTTTGTGTTTAAACCCCGCCCCCCCAAACTCAAAAAGCCCCCACAAGAAACTATTCACTTCATCACTGCACCAATAAAGTCACTGTGATTCCTGCACAGGTACATAAATATCCCCACAATGATCTTTCCTTCCCTTAAACCAAGCTCATCCTGCACACCTCTCACCTCTGTGTGCTGCTGTGTTACTGCTGGAGGGCAACAGGAACATCTTTTTTCCCTCCTCAGATGAGAAACCCTGGAAGGGGAGGCACTGGTGGCTGCGGACACTGAAGCCCTCTCCTCTGAAACCATCAGGCAACCACAGCCAGCGAGGGCAGCTGCCCCTGAAGAGATCTGTCAGCACTGAGCGCTACGTGGAGACCCTGGTGGTGGCTGACAAGATGATGGTGGGGTACCATGGGAGGAGGGACATAGAGCAGTACATCCTGGCCATCATGAATATTGTAAGTGTTATAACCACACCATGAACCTTGGGACACCCCTGGGGGGCTCACACACCCTGAAGCAGGAATAGCTCCTGTTCATCACCCCAAATGTCTGGGCTTGGCAGAGGGTGCCATGTGCTTCTCCTGCAAGGGGACAAGCAAGATGGGAGCACAGTGGGGAAATTAGATCTGTTCCAAGGTGGCAGTGGCTTCTTCTCATGCTCAAAGGGAAGACTTTTGGGTCAAAAATCCTGACAGGCTGCTGCTGCTCATGAGCAGTGGTACCCTGGAGCCTGCAGGGACTCTGTTGTAAAGGAGAGGCACCGTAGGAGAGGTAAACTCTGGCCCATCTGACCTTGCCACAGGCCAGATCTGGGCTGGGAGAACAAAGGCCTTTCTTTGAACAGCATCTCTCATCTCAAATTAGCATTGCAAATAGAGCCAGCCAAGCTGAGAAACACATGGGAAAGCATAAGGACAGTGAGCTCTCACGCTTGGGGGCTGAGCAGCATGAGGGGTCTGCAGAAATACCCTCGTTCTTCCATATCACAGTGCCTGTGCCTCTGGGTTTGGGTCATTGCTGGCAGCAGGATACCAGGCTGGATGTATTAACAGCCTGAATTGGCCATGCTGAATCCTCCTGTGAGGTGAGATAGGCTTGGAAGTTATCCATCAATCTGCTGAAAGCCCCTCTGTGATGGCTCTTTGTCCTGTCCTCTGCAGGATCTCTTTTCATGGCTCGCTCTGTTTGCATTTCTAAAGCAGATGCCAGATTTTAAAACAATACTGTTTCCAACTGTTTCATCTGCTCTGAAACACCCACCGTGTGGCAACGGATTTCTGAGAGCTGCTGTGTCCTTCCCTGCCATGGGCACTCAGCAAAGCTTCATCCCTGGGTGTGTGCAATGCCAGGACTGTGAGGATTCCCCACCTGAGCTCCAGGCAAGGAGCAGGTGCTGGGGGATGTTGACTTCACTGCTGATTCTCCCCAGAAGGAGAGAGCAAGGTCTGAACATGGTTTAGGAGATTCTGAAATCCAAGTGGTAACATGGAGTCCCATACCCATTTCTGCTTTCTAAAAACAATGTGTTCAGACCCTGCAGCCACGACTCCCTCATGTGTGCCCAGCCCATGCCATCTCACCCACCAATTGCAGCGTACCCCAGTCACTGAGCTCATTTTTAAGACTCCTCTTTTCTTGTTTCTTGGAGGTCAGGTTGCCAAACTTTTCCAGGACTCAAGTCTGGGCAATATTGTCAATATCCTGGTGACACGGCTGATTCTTCTCACCGAGGATCAGGTAAGGTGTGCTTTGCTGAGCTTCTTCTGTCCTGTGTCTGCACTCCCTTTGCTGGTCCCTGTGTTCCCCTTGGATGTCAGCCCCAGGAGATCCCCCCAGTGCAGCCTGCTGGGTGCTCCACATCCTTCTAATGGCACCAAAGGACTGGGTTCAGGCCATGGGCTGAGGAGACCTCTGGTCTCTGAGGATGTTTTTCTATGATAAAGTGACTTTAGGGAGGTTTAAGTAGCTGTAGTGCTCCTAAAGTCCCACTTTTCTTACTTTCCCGTGGCCTCCATGAACAGCTGGGAGTGTGTGGACTGGTGTGAGTTCTCTGCTGGCATGGAATAGGCAGTGCCTTCTTATCAGAGCTTTCCTGGGAACACACTATCCTATTGCTTCCATTCCAGCCCACACTAGAGATTAACCACCACGCTGGGAAATCCCTGGACAGCTTCTGCAAGTGGCAGAAATCCATTGTGAACAGGAATGGCAACGGAAATGCTATCCCTGAGAATGGCATAGCCAACCATGATACTGCAGTGCTGATCACCAGGTAAGGCTGAACCCAGCCCTGGCAGCCCTGTCCCCTCAGGGGGTGTCCTCTGCCTCTGGCCAAGTGGCTCATCCAAGGCTTCTGTCCCATGTGCTGCCTGGCAGTGTCTGTCCCTCAGGCTGAGCATGTGCCAGTTCCCTCACAGCAATGCAGATTGTTGCAGTTCTGATAGTTATCATCTTCCAGTTCAAATAGTTATCATCGTGCAGCATCTTCCCTTGGTCTTTGTTGGGCTTTTAAGGAGCTTAATTTGCAGCCACAGATATTTGTGCACCACAAGGCAATGGTGCAGTGTGTGCACTGATGTTGGGCACGTGTTGGAGTCCACCCTGGAGTCATAGAGATGCAGGCATCGTCCGGAAACAGAGAGCCCTGTCTGCCCCTGCTGTGAAAGGTAAAGAGGGTACAACTGGAACCTGAGCAGCATGACAGAGTGCTCCAGCCAGTATGAGATTTGGCTCACCTCATTTTACCTGCTTACATGTCAGGCTGAACTCTCTCCTTGGTGGATACCCTTGAAGTAGTGAGTTCATCCCAACTCCCTTAGGACAAGAGCAGTCCTGCCCTGCCTGTGTTTCTGTGCTTCTGTAACAACAGCTGAGGTCAGCAGTGTAACCTGGATGCTGGATTAGACCTTGAGGGCTGGGTGAAAGGGTCTAAACCTTCACACACGAGGCAAGTAACCCCTGTCAGAATAGGTGAGTGCTCGAGCCTGGAGCAGCAGAGGATACATGAGGGACAGCAGGAAGGATGGATGGATGATCAGGAGGAAGAAAGATGCAGAGAGGATGACAGAGGCAGTGGAAGGAACAGCAGGGTGGCTGTTAGGACAGAGGATCTGAAGGGAGGGCTGGAAGGAGGGGACAAAGAGTGCCAAGAGGCTGCTCTTGGAGGTGCTCCTGGCTGTGTCCCATGTGCCTGCATGAACCCTGCTTGGGTAGAGGGGAAACATCCTGGAGAGTGGCCAAAGGCAAACCCAAGTTTGTGCCTTTCCCCTCCTCTTATGTGGAGAGGAGGAAGGTTATGAAATGGAAGTGCTGGAGAGGGGAGCCTCCAAGTGGGAGCTGATTTCGTTGTCCATGTGCTGCTCTCCTGCTCCAATCCCCATTGCCAGTGGGAACCTGGTGCATCCCTCCTGGGGAGCTTGTGAGATGAGAGCCCACAAGCAAGAGCAGAGGAGCAAGCAAAAGGTCCCTTAGCCCCACATTCTCATCCTCCAGGAGCTGTGGCATCTGCTTTTCCTTCCCTCCCACCACACACTCGTGGGATGCAAACACCAGCTCCGAGTTCTTCGTCCTCCCACCAGATGTTTGAGCTAACCCAGAGTGACTGGCTGGGCTGGCCACGCCAGGCTTGGACAGCACCAGTGCATCCAGCCCCGGCTCTAATAAATTCCCTGTCTCTGATAACATCTTGCTGAGCTGCAGGCTTTTTTCTCTTGCAGGGACGTGTCAAACCAGAGCCTCCAAAGGCTTGAATGGTATTTGCTCAAAACAAAGCAACAAATGTTTTTCACTTGCTCAGTTTCCTGCCAGGGGTGAGAGGTTTGGACACTTCCAGAGAGCACCAGGGGCCAAAGGGACAGGAGCCATCACCAGGAATGTGTTAGGCTTAACCCATCATGTGCTATCACTTGCTCACTCCCTGCTCCCTGGTGAGACACTAGCACACGTTGCCCAGGGAGGCTGTGGCTGCCCCAACCCTGGCAGTGTTCAAGGCCAGGCTGGATGAGACCTTGTGCAACCTGATCTAGTGAGGAGGTGTCCCTGCCCAGGGCAGGGAGGGTTGGGACTAGATGATCTGTAAGGTCCATTCCAACCCTTAAATTCTATGACTCTATACTCTCATCCCTGTGGGATCACTGGGGTGAGCAGTATTGGATGGTCCTGCTCATCACATGTGTCCCCAAACCCACCCCATGGTCAGCATCCTTCTTGCAACACCCCAGCCTGGCTCTGGGGTTGTCCCAGTGCAGCTGCACCTTGTCCCCCCACCTGCCCACCCTGCACAGATCTCAGCATTAGCCTGGTCCCTTTCAGCCCAGGTTTTGCAAAACATCTGGGGAGTCTCTCCTGCTGGAGAAGGTATTTGAACAGAAGCAGGGAGGGCATGTGGTTTATCTCTGTGGATAAACATGAATATTCACTCTCTAACCCAAACTGGTCTCTTTTGATGCTGCTGCCACCTCCCATTGCAAGGGTGCTGCATTTCCATTTGGAGGAGATTTTTGCTGTCCTTGTTTTAGCTTTTCCTTGTCTGCAGCTAACGATGTGCAAACAGTCAATTCTTTGATGCAACGGCTGGAATCTGAGGCCAGGAACAGAGGGAAGAGTCACCTTGAATCAACCCATATTGAATTTGTTTGGAAAATTCTCAGTAAAGAACTAAACTGAAAAAAAATATACATATAAAAAAATCACTTTAGTGTTTTCCTGAAACCACAGTGGGTTTTGAAATGGAACATGTTTCAAACTGAAATGTTTTCCTTAGTTTTTTTTTTTTTAAAAAAATGCAGAACTACATGTGCCCAACCCTGGCAGTATCCAAGGCCAGGTTGGATAGGGCTTGGAGCAGCCTGATCTGGTGGAAGGTCCCCCCTGAGCCTCCTTTTCTCCAGGCTGAGCACCTCAACTCCCCCAGCTGCTCCTATTTAGACTTATGCTCCAGCCCCTTCTCCAGTCTTGTTGCTCATCGCTGGACATGCTCTACCATCACACTGCATCAAAACCAAACCTCTGCCCTGGCTCTGCATTGCCCCAGGGTTAAAGGACAGGAGATGTCATTAAAAAAGTGAGTCTCAGCCTGAGGAAAGTGAGTGTCAGAGGCATCTGACAGATCAGAGGCATCTTACCTGTTACAGTCAGTGTTTTCCATTCTGTGAAGTGTTCCATAAGCCATGGGCTGGTTTGTAGTGTTCCATGAGCCATGAGCTGATTTGAAGTGTTTCCTGAGCTGGTTTGAAGTGGTTTGCATGTGGACACATCAGCAAAAAGGAGATGTTCTCATTTGGAGCCACCAAAATGATATGTTGTTATTAACCCTGGCATCTCTTCTTTTCAGGTATGACATTTGCATCTACAAGAACAAACCATGTGGCACCCTGGGTATGTAGGACAGTAGCACTTCTCACAGCACACACATTTTTTGGGAGTGTGGGGAAGGTGGGCTGTGCCATTCCCTTTCCTAGTGAACAGGCTGAGGCAAAATGCTTGCCCAACACCACTGCAAGCACCAGCAGCAGAGCCAGGAACAGACCAGTGATTTCCAGCCCACTCGACTGTGTAGCCTCCTTACTTCTGTAAACACTAAAAACAGCAACCCAGAGGACAGATGGGTTCTGGAACACTTCTCTGTTATATCCCTGGGTCAGGTCCAGCTCAATGATTAAGAACCACTTGCATCTAGGGCTGGTCCATAGCCTAGTGGAGTATTCCTGGCTTAGCAGAGAGAAATAAGACTTTTTTGTGATGACTATAAAGGGAGTTCTTTATTTAAACGGCGAGACGGAGACAGACCCTGCAGCTTTCTCTGGCTGGAGCTCCTAATTTGTCTTGCCCTGGTCTAGACTAAGCAGTCAGGGAGGGATTACTGCTCTGAATCACTGCAGTGAAAAAGGAAAAGTTGGTGGGTATCTGACCTGATGCAACTGCAGATGAGGAGCCTGGGAGGGAAGCTGAGGGAGGCTGAGGCTGAGGCTGGAGGTGCTGTGACAGCTTGATTCATTCCATCAGCAGAATCAGTTCCCTCCCTGGCCCAGTGCAGCAAGCACAGCCTGTGCTGGTGGGTTGGAGGAATCTGCTTCCATGATTCAAGGAGGGTTTCAGCATGATCCAAACCTCCAAAAGGAGTGAGGTTTGGATCCAGATTCCTGATCGTGGTGGGTGTCAGCCAGAACCAAGGTTGGACCCTGCCTTACTCAGTTATCCAGGCTGCCCTGGCTGAGTTTGGATGCCCAAGTGCTGGTGCAGCCAGTCTCAGGTTCCCCCACCAACTGTGTGACAAGGACTGCTCCCTCTCTGCACGGTTTAGAGTTAGGATATGAAATGCAGAGGACGTGACAAGGACTGCTCCCTCTCTGCACGCTTTAGAGTTTGGATATGAAATGCAGAGGATTTTGACCCATTCTCAGCATTTCTGAGGCTGTCATTGCTAGTTTAGTTGACAATACTGAGTGACTACTTGCCACGGCCCTTAAGAGCCCTGAGTCCATCCCAAAGCCCAGTGCAACCAGTGGGAAGGAACTGGTTACTGACAGCAGGCTGTGCTCAGTGTGAAGCATGTCAGTCAGGCCCCAAACATCACCCCTGTGCTCTGCTTTGTGGTGGCTGTATGTGACAGCTCTGTCTGCCTTCCCCAGGCCTGGCCCCTGTTGGTGGGATGTGCGAGCGAGAGCGAAGCTGCAGCATCAACGAGGACATTGGCCTGGCCACTGCCTTCACCATTGCCCATGAGATTGGCCACACGTGAGTACTGTGCCAGGAGAGCTCCTGGGAGTAGCTGTCACATGGAAGAGTCCCTGTTTTTTTGTTACTGCCAACATCACCCTACAGATGATGCAGCAGCTGATAATCTCTCTATGCCTTGGTGATACTTTGTAGGTTTGGCATGAATCATGATGGGGTTGGCAACAGCTGTGGCTCCCGTGGGCAAGAGACAGCCAAGCTCATGGCTGCTCACATCACCATGAAGACCAACCCATTTGTGTGGTCCACGTGCAGCAGGGATTACATCACCAGCTTCCTGGAGTAAGGAATCTTTATCACCTTGCCCTTCCTTCTCCCTCGCAACGGGTACTCACCTCCAACCTCCCACAGTCACTTGTGAGGAGTGAGTAAAGCCAAAGACAAGTCCCCAAAGCACCCAGCTCATGCACCTTCTGTCTTGTCTCCCAGCACCTCATCCTGTCCCAAAAGGCATGTGATTTCCTTCCTTCCTTTAGATTTTCCCATGGTATTCCTGCCTGCTGAAGCTCTAACCCCAATTACCTTGCAGCTGGGATACCTTTATTTAGGTTCTCCACATCCAAAAGCTTCACAAATAGATTAAGTAGCTTCTGGAGGTATTTGGATGGTTCTAAAGTTCAGCCAGAAATTGAAGAGGAGGATTGATGAGGTGGGGAAGGAGGATTTGGAGACAGGAATGGGTCTGTATGGTGTAGGCACTTTCTCCAGACACTGAGGAGGAGAGTTTTCAGGTGTGAACAATCAAAGTAGGAGAAGGGATTTGGGTTTTTTTTTTTTTCCAAAGCACCTTCAGACAATCAAAGTAGGAGAAGGGATTTGGGGTTTTTTTTTCCAAAGCACCTTCAAGATTCAAGAGAAAGGATTTAGGCTCCTAAATCCCAGAGTTTCAATATTGTCACCATGCCTGAGTCATGCCTCTGCAGTCTGAAAGTGCTTCTTGTCCAGGGTTCAGGCAGCCCTCAGGTTTTCTTTCACAAAACAATCTCAGGATCAGTTTTGATGAGGTTTTTGGTAGGACAGAGGCTCTACCTAATGGAAGGACTGTGTAGGACTTGAATGTGACTGGAAGAAGCACGTGTGTGGGGTCACTGTGGAGGGAAGTCCCTGGGGAGTCTGAATACCAGACCTCTGCCAGTGATGCTGTTGTTGGAATGCTGGGAGAGGATCTCCAAAGGCTCCTCCCCAAGGGACTGCCTCCTGCCCCACTGTCCTGCAAGGCCTGGCCAAACCCCATGGCTCACCACCAAATCCCACATCTGGCAGCTCATGTTTGGCCCCAGCAAACCTGTCCCCCACACTCTTGACCCCTGGATGTGCACTGCAGCAAGGCACGTGGCACAGACAGCACTGGGAAAGGCTGCTTTGTCCTCTGGTAACCCTGAGGTCTCAGCAGGGCTGGTGGAGGAGAGAGAGTTCGTGTTGGCCCATTCTGTGGTCTGTGCTGGCCACCTCAACCTGAGCACGGCCCCGGGAGCCTCCACTGGGACATGGTGTGTGCAAGACCCTGGGATTTGGGGCTGGGTGTGATGACAGGGGCCTTGATTTAGGGAGAGCTCAGAGAGCAGCAAGGAAAGGGGAGGGAAAGGCATTTCTTGCAAAATTTGGACGCTCCTACAAAGCTCTGGTATGCAGAAGAACAGGCTTGGAGCACAGGGGCTCTCTGCACTGCTCTCAGCTGGAGCTCTGCAGCCAGGTGGGAGGGCAGCCCCTCCACCCACCCACATGAAGGCCATGGGCACACACCTGCCTGCACACTGCCAGGTGGTGCCTGCTGGTCCTGGAACCCACAGGGCTGGCAATAGCCTGCAGAATTGCAGAAGCTGTGCCAGGGGAGGTTTAGGCTGGATATTAGGATAAGGTTCTTGCCTCAGAGGGTGATTGAGCACTGGAACAGTTCCCAAGCACAGTGGTCATGGCCTCAACCCTGCCAGAGTTCAAGGAGCATTTGGACAATGCTCTCAGGCACATGGTAGGATTGTTGGGGCTGTGCCATGCAGGGCCAGGAGTTGGACTTGAGGACTCTAGTGGGGCCCTTCTATATCAGGAGATTCCAGGATTCTATAAATCCTCAGATTAATACTTCCAGAGTTACCTAGGAACCAGCATGTGCTTCCCAGCCTGGAGCACACAGGTAGAAGGACTCCAAAGCACTTTCTCATCAGTGTTTCTGCCCAGGGGAGACCCAGATTTATCTCCCCAAGCAACCAAGCTCAGCCCTGTGTGGAGCTAGGAGTGCCTGCTGCTGGTCCTCCACCTCCATGCTCTTTCTTCTATGAGCCTTTCTCAACTCTGATTCTCCTCTCTCTTGTTTCCAGCTCTGGGATGGGAATATGCCTGAACAATGCTCCTCCCAAGCAAGACTTCATCTACCCAACAGTGGCTCCAGGCCAGGCCTACGATGCAGACGAGCAGTGCCGTTTCCAGTACGGAGTTAAATCTCGCCAGTGTAAATACGGGGTAGAGAGCCTTCCTGCTTTACTATCGGTTCCCAGGGGGTGGAGGATGGGGGTACAGGAGTAAAGGGGCCATGGGGCTGTTCCTCTGCTGCCCACGTTGCTGTCCTGCTTCAAACAAAGGACACTGGCACGTTCCCGGTGAGCTTGTTGCTTTGCTTCCCTATGGGAGGACAGAGGAGGTTGTTTCCCATCCATAAAACTTGACCCCAGCTCAGTTTTGGTCTGTTTAATCCCATGGGAAGAGATCTTTTTGCCTCTGCCTGATACCTTGGCTGCTGCTGGTCCCCAGGGGTTGCAGCTGAAGCCAAGCTGTGCTCCTTCCATCCTAACTCCCCTTTGTACACAGACAGATTTTCCGTAATCCTTATGCTGCTCACACAAACTTAGGAGGAGAAATGTCTTTCTTCCAGGTGAGGAGGGGTGATGTACATCTGTAGGTACATCTGAGGGTCAGCTGCCCACCTAAGCCACCCCTGCCATCATACTGCCATCCCCTGGTCTTTGAATACAGGAAACCACCAAAAGGAAAAGTCAGGAGAAAAAGAGTCTTCCTGGATGTCAGCCTGATGTTTTGCTGTTCTAAATGTACTGAGCATGGACAACTATCCAAGCAGAGTGGCAAGGGAAAGTGCCTGTGCTGAAGGTCTAATTAAGCATTAATCTGTGCTCCTCTAGAGAAAACAGGAGCCAGCAGTGGGATGCATGGGTAGTTGTGTTGTCTGATGGACACATTTCTTCACTGACAGGGTTGTCAGGCATTGGAATGTGCTGCCCAGGGAGGTGGTGGAGTCACCATGGCAGGTGCTAGGAATGGGCCCTTTTGCTCAGCCTCAGCTACACAGACTCAAAAGTGGGAAGAACCCTCAGCCCTGGGGAGAGAGGTCAGGTGGAGGACAGTGGGATCAGCTCAGACCCTGTAGGGATGTCCTAGGAGAGGTGCCCTCTGTGGCACACAGACCAGGTTTGGCTACATGGGCTACCCTCCACATCCAGATGATCCAAGCCCATAGAAGTGCTTAGACTGAGTCTAGAGAAGGGGGGGGTGCTTCCACTGGCCTTGGGGTGACTACAACCTTGCAGGATTTCATTTTTTGATCTCATTTCCCCCCACCATGCTGAAGACATCATGTCCCTGTGTCCCAGCCCAGCTGGTGCCTCCCAAGCACACCAGCGTGCTGCTGCCCCAGCCTTGTAGCCCTTCACACGAGCAAATCCTAATCTTGGTTTTGTTGCTTTGTCTCTTTCCTTCTCCCTCCCCCTCTCTCACCCAAAATCTCTCTCTTTCCAGGAAGTCTGCAGTGAGTTATGGTGTCTGAGTAAAAGCAACCGCTGCATAACCAACAGCATCCCTGCTGCTGAGGGGACCATCTGCCAAACCAACACCATTGAAAAGGGGGTAAGGATGCCTGGGGCACCGTAGTGAGTTGACAGTGAGTGGTTGAATCCCTCTCCCAGCAATAACTGGGATCATTGTTTGCGTTGGGGAGTGCAGAGTTGATTTAAGAGCACCCACTAGCCTGTCCTCCCCTGCCTCCCAGAGTCTGGAGCCATCCCAGAGTCTGAAGCCATCCCCACCCTCCCCAGCAGCATGGAGGGAGGCTGGGATGTGCCAAGGAGCCCATAATCACCCCAAAGTGCAGTTCAGCTTGTGTAATGCTGGACTATGGAATATGAAATCTCTGCTCCAGCGAACTTCTTGGAGTCATCCAGGAGGCACAACAAGGTGACCTCATGCAATGCCATGTCCTTTAGATGGACATCTTGTCCTCAGATCTGCTGGGATGTCCTGGCTGGCCTGAGAAAAGGGATTTTTGTCCCAGTTTTCCCAGGACAGACAATGGATTTGTAACATGCTTTCAGAGGAATTTGTGAAAAACTGGCTAGATATGATGAGCTCTTTTTTTCACCCTCAGCCGAGAGAGGAGAGTAGGATTTTTCCTGACCATATATTTTTGAATGTGAATTTTAACTGGATTATTCACAGCACTTCATACCCTGCACCTTCTACACCCATTGACATCAGTACACAGTGAGTGGGTAACACTGCTAAAACAAAGAGCAAAGGCAAACTGAGTAATAACTGGGACAATGGAAAGTCAAGGCTGGGACATTCCCCATTGAATGGGCATGTGATTTTCCACCAGAGGAAAATTAATTCCCAAGAAATGAGAGAAAAATTTCAGATCCTTAAGAAGCTGGAGGAGCTGATGTGCAGGAAAGAGGATGGCTTTGACAAATTCATTACTCTTTGCAAACAAGCATCTTAGTTTTGCTGGAAATTAGGTCAGAAAGGAGTAGACAGCTCCTGGGGCTGGACATCCCTCCTGCTGCACACTCACCAGATACAATGGCATTTTTTTTCTACTAGTCATCTCTTTTTATCAGATTTTCCCACTTAAAAATATGTCTTATTTTCCCCTCACTTGCTAGTTGTTTTTTAACCAGGGTTCTTTTCCCAGGACTCACGGGAGCTATTCCCAGTGAGGATACTGGCTCAGTTTGTACCCACAGTTAGCTTCCTGTGCTTCTGCTTATCCTTTTGTATCAGTTCTGCTTCAGAAGTGATTTGATACCCTTGGGTGGAAGAAGATGCACCTTTCTTTGCATTAAGTTTCTGCACTGTCATCAGCTGGAGCTCCTGGCTGGTCCCCCCTGCACTGCCTGGGTGAGCTCCCAGACCTCAGCCCTTGGCTGGAGCAGCACTCCCAGGTCTGCTCTGGCTTCTCCCGTTAAACTGGGGAGAGTAGAGGGAAGGATCAGGGTACCTGAGGTATTTCAGGCAGGTAAGATTAAAGGAGAGATAGTTCCTGTGCTCTGCCACCCAATCAGAGAAGCAGTGAGGGGGAAAGCTGAGCCAAGCTCTGGTGGATCGTGGCTGTGCCCTCATCCCAGACCTCTGCTTGTTTCCTCCTCCCAGATTCTCCTTTTTGGTTTTTTTTATTAAGTGATCTCCTGTGGTTTTTATGGCTTCACTGTCTTATCCCAAGAACCCAAAGTGGGTGACTTCAGGTCTGGTTCCTGATGCCCTCAAGGTGCCTCCAGCACCCCAACTGCTCAACTGGCACAATCAGTGTCTTGCTGGATCCTTCCTTGCCTGGTTTGGTTTGCTTTTCTCTTTTTTTAATGTAATTCCCATTAATCAAGCACTTATTACCCAGGTAATAGTCAGTGCACCCTGTGAGGATGTTTTTCATTACACATCTTCCCTTCCCACATGCCCTCAACACATCTAGTCTCACAGCCACAGGAGAGTGAGCTAGGACCTGCTCCCAGAGCAAGGACACATCCCATCACTGCTGCTCTCAGGATCTCTGAGTGCCTGCAGGGTTTGCTCAAACTCCTGGGCCCTGTCTGCAGAAGCAGCAGCCCCAGTACCTCCAGTCTGGAGCAGGGACACTGGACAGGCTGTGCTTGCAGAACATCTCCACCACATGGGCTCACACCTTTGCAGCAGTGCTGGTGTGCATGGAAGTTGCTAACTGAGTGTCTTGGGAGACCATGGTGTATTTTTCCCAGCCAGCTGTGCTGCCCTTGGAGAGCTTGGCTCGGATGGAGCTGGGAGAGGCTGTGCCAGCAGCTCCAGGGTGGGTTATCAGCCCCTGGAAGGAGCACACAGCAGTTTCTTCCTTCCTGGGATTATCTCAGCCCCTGAGGGATGGTGTCCGGCACCGTGCCCGGAGAACGGCAGCAGCTCTGGCACTGTCCTGCTCCTCACATCACTGGTGACTCCAGGGGGTGTGGGATGCTTTCCAGGTCTGAGGGAAATACTTCACAGGCAAGTTCCTGTGAGCATCTGTCGCCCAATAGGACAGGGACAGGCAGATTCCTTAAAGATCCTTGGCAGAACAATGACACAGCAATGTTGTTATTATAATTTCAACTCGATTTGAAGTTGGGCCCTTCACTTGAACACATTAACCACATCTTGAGCTCCCACTACACACAAAACTCACTCCATCCTGGGAGGAGCAGCTGGCAGTGGAGGTGTCCATGTCCCCCAGGGTTCCTGGCCCTGCCCAGCAGCAGCAGCAGCTCCAGTCCAAGTCCCACCTGAGACTCACTGCTGTGTGCTTTTATAGGCAGTGAGGTGTGTGCTCTTAGCTGTCCCTGTCACCCTGATTGACCCAGGACCTATTTAGAGAGGAATCACAGAATGGTTTGGGTTGGAAGGGACCTTAAAAGTCCATCTCATTCCAACCCCCCAGGGACAGCTTCCTCTAGCCCAGGTTGCTCCAAGCCCCATCCAACCTGTCCTTGAATATTTCCAGGGATGGGGCAGTCACAGCTTCTCTGGGCACCCTGTGCCTCAGCACCCCACAGAAGTGGGATGTGACCCACTTGCTCGTGGCTGGCTGTCCCACAGGATGGTGCATGGGAGGCTGGGAGTGGGGGCACTGGTCCCAGCATCCCTAAGTACACTGGGTGCACAACTGGTGACAAGGTGACTCAGAGCAAATGGTGCTTGGGAAGAGGTGAATCTCTCTGATATAGAGAACTTGGCCCTAAGGCCAATACAGCTTTGAGTTCAGATTTCCCAGCATCAAACCAGATCCCAGCCCTGAAGCTGCCATGTCTGATAAAGGTTGGAGAGAGACTGGGAGAGGGAGAGCACGTCCTTAGGGTGTTTAAAACTCTCTCTTTTCACAGTGGTGCTACAAGAGGGAGTGTGTGCCTTTTGGCACCCGACCACAGGGTGTGGATGGAGCCTGGGGATCCTGGTCATCCTGGGGAGAGTGCAGCAGGACATGTGGTGGTGGAGTGTCGTCATCCGTGCGCCACTGCGACAGCCCACGGTAGGTGTAGGTGTGCATGGCCATGTTGGTGTGGCCCTGCCATGTCCTGAACACAGCACTATTCAGTTCCATGGGGAAAGCATGGTCAGGTGCCTGTGCAGGTCCTCACTCAGCTCCCAGAGGTTCTTGTCTTACACATAAATGCCTTGTCCTGCTTTCACAGCAGCTCAGTGCTTTGGGTTGGTGTTAGATCTGCAGCCACAGGCTCAAAGCCACTTGTACAACACCAGTGTGCACGTACAGCTGAGCATGTGAGCTCTGCTGGGGGCTGCACTTCAGCAATCCTGCAGGCAGGATCCATCCTCACAGCAGAGCAGGGTGGGGAAAAACCATGGTGCTCCTGCAACCTTGGGGCAAACACCTGCTACAAACACAGCTCCCAGCCCTAAGCTGATTCCCTCATCTCATTCCTGGTTTGGCAGGCCCACGATTGGAGGGAAGTACTGCCTGGGGGAGAGGAAGAGGTACCGGTCCTGCAACACTGATGTGAGTAGTGCTGGGCTGAGGAGTGAAGTGGCTGGCAGGGCTGTGTCGCAGTGAGGAGGTGGGGTGAGCTCTCTCCACACAGTGCAGGATGTTGTGTGGAGCTGTGGGACCTGCAGGAGGAGACTGGATGGGGGCAAGGCAGGGTGTGCCAGCAGCAACCCTGCAATGAGGAATGCTGAGCAGGACCATGCACGTCTCCAAACTGGCTCCGAGGGTGGGTGGGTGGTACATACCTGCAGGGCTTCAGCATCAAGAGGGGCCCAAAAAAGATAACCAGGCAAAGGAGGAGAGATCAGAGGCTTCCAGCTCTGACATGATGGTGATGCCTCTCATATGCTGCAAGTGCAGGTCTGGTCAGGTGAGAGCAGCTCACGAGATGCCAGGTAGCACCTGCTTCCCAGGGCTAAGGGTTAAACCTCCATGGGAGCAGAGAAAGAGCTGTAATGTAGGGATGCTTAATGAAGCTTTGGACCTGAGGAATTGTAGCTTTAACATCCACAGGCTGGTGGTGAGGGCAATAGATGGGTCTCATTGCTTCCCTGGGCTTACAAAGGATTGCTCACAGGTATCACATCTCAGACAGAGTAGCTTGGCCCAAGGGCTTGTGCTGCTGGTCTTCAAATCATGTCCAGCTTTGCAGGAGGGATGCTCCTGCTGTCTTGTACAGTGCCTGGTTGTCAGGGTAGTGTCCCCCTCGTTGAAGGGCTGGTGTTAGTGCAGCTGGGTGTCCTGTAGCAGATCAGCCAGTCTGGCCTGACACCTTGCTGACCACTGGCTCTGGCTGCAGGACTGTCCACCTGGCTCCCAGGACTTCCGAGAGCTGCAGTGTGCCGAGTTCGACAACGTCCCTTTCCGAGGGAAGTACTACACCTGGAAGACATACCGTGGAGGTGAGTGCTGGGGCTGGGCTGAGCATCCCCTGGCAGGACTGGAGCAGGGCTGTGCAGGACTTTGCTCTTCCCATGCTTTGCAGGGATGGGTCTCATGGTCCAAGGCACCTGGGGGACAGTTAGTCATGACTTCACTAGGCTGTGTCCCACAGGATGCCTTCTCTGATGCTCCTGGGATGTGCTGCCTTCCCCTCACATGACTCTGGATCAACCTGTGCCCCTCCAGGCATCTGTTGCCCCCTCATGCTGGGTCACTCACCCCTGTGCAACCTCCCTTTAACTTTACAGCTCTGCCAGAAACAATTCCAGCAGCATTGGAGCTATTCAGCTTCCTTCCTCAAGTCTGTTTCCTTAACTGCTGAAGGGAGCAAAGAGGAAGATAGACATGAGAAAGGAGTTGTTGGTGTCTGGTACCTGATGAGGAGGAAACAGGGCAGCACTCCTGGGCAGGCAGGTGAAGTTCCCAGATCCAGCCTAGATGAAGGGATGGGAACTGGTGGATCCTACAAAGAGCAGTGCTCCCCTTCCCAGGGTCAGTCATGTGTCCTGCAGAAGGGTCTAGTGAGGAGAAGGGGTGGGAGGAGGCCTCTGTGGCAGAAATCTCTTAATAATGAGAAAGAACAGCGCGTCTCCTTCGTGTAGTTAATGAACTTGACTGGGGAAATCCTTCACAGCTGTGTAAATAAGCACACCTCCCAACGGGGCTCCTGCAGCTGGAGCAGATGTGCTGAGGCTGCAGGGGATGGATCAATAAAAATGTAATAAAATTGAGAAGCAGTAAGTCACACAAAGACCCCAATGGATGCCAAGGTGGAAGACAGCCCCGCAGGCTGGAGCTGCCCTTGCTCAGACCTCTCTCTTCTCCAGGCATGGCCCAGTGGTTGGAGTCCAGAGGACAGCTGGCCAGTTGAACAGCAGCCCTTGAGTTGTAATCTGGTTCTGACAAGGATTTTTGCTTTGGCTTTCAAAAAAAATAGCCCCTTACTCTCTCTGCTTCAGTTTCCTCTGCCATAAAACAAGGTGATGAAACCTGTTCCCTTCTCAGGAAGCTGCAAGTGTTGGCACAGATATATCTTGAAGGGATCTGGGAGCTCTTTTGCAGCTCTCCAGGTTGGCTGGAGACAAAAATCCCACAGGCAAATGAAGGTGTCCTTGCCCATGAAGGGACATGGGTTGGACTAGGTGGTCTTTAAGGTCCCCTCTAACCTAAGTCCCTTTGAATTTTATGACTTCAGCAGCAAGAGAACCTCCATCTTTATTTGCCTGTGGGATTTTTATGATACTTGGTGTCATCTGGGTGTCAGAGGTACAGCTGTGGGGGAGGTGGGAAGGTCCCTTGATCTATGTCATAGGTCAGAGCCCCTTGAAACCACCCACTCTTGTCTTCCCCGTGCTGTCAGGCCCCGTGTTTCCCCCTGTGCTAGCAGACATCCCTACCCAGCACTGGGGAGGCAGTGAGGGCTGGTCATCATCTCCATCACTCCTTCCTGGGCTCTTCCAGGGATGCCCAGAGAGCCTTGGTATGGCACCCATCAGTCCCTCCCTCCCCTCTGGCACAGCAGCCCTCTAGGATCCATCTGTGTTGGCAGCCTCATCCCTGGGCATTCTGCCCTCCAGTACCTGCTCTTCCGGTTGGTTTTGGGCACATGTCCCCACTCTGGGAGCTGTTCACCATCCTCACCCTCTACTGAGCACCTTCCCCTGCTCAGCTCAGCCACTGCCTTTGGCACAGCATCCTTGAGCTTCCAAAAGGGATGCAGTGGTGCATGTGCTGTTTGCTGGTCAGACGATGTCCCCACACTGGTTTGGGGAAATGTCCTGGTCACAAACCACCTCCACACCTGACAAGGAGTATCCCACTGTCTTGGATGGGGAGGACACTGATCCTGAAGGGAAGGAGCTGGCTGAAAGCCTGACACCAGCTGGTCACCAGCACGTTGAGGTCGGGTTGTGCGTGGAGCCTGTTTTCCTGGCGCTGATTTATAGCGGTCCTGGAGCCCAGATCCCAGGATTGGGAGACACAACCCCAACAAAAAACGCTGAGCTCAGCCTTTCAGAGCTCAGCAGTCAGCAGATACCTCGTGGAATGCAGCTTTAATTGTTTGTTTATTGTGCTTTATTCACTTAGTTATTCATTTGGCTCTTGGCGGATGCAAGAGCCAAGGGAGAGCAGAGCAGCTCACGGGGCTGCAAGAGGGATGGGGAGGAGCAGGGGCTTGCAGAAAACAGGAGATTGCTCATCAGAAATTGTAATAAGCCTTAATTCCTCCATGGGAGAGAGCAGGCAGGAGGAACAAAACATCCTCAGAGGCACTGTGCAGCCAGCTGAAAATATTCTATTTTAGTAGCTATATTAAAGATGCAAAGGAGTAAGCACAGCAGACCTGGCTGTGCTGACCTTGGACTACAAATCCAAACTGAAGGGTGGAGGTTGAAGTCTGCTTGGCCTGGGGTTCACCCCTCTGGGAGCAGAAGGCTGTGGACCCAAGGGATCAGCATGAGGCTGTGTCAGGGGAGGTTTAAGCTGGATATTAGGGAAAGGTTCATCCCCCAGAGGGTGTTTGGGCACTGGAACAGCTCCCCAGGGCAGTGGGCACAGCCCCAAGGCTGACAGAGCTCAAGGAGTGTTTGGACAACACTCCTGGGCACGTTGTGAGATTGTTGGGGTTGTCTCTGCCAGGGCTAAGACTTCCATCCCAAAAAGCTCAGCTCCCACCAAACCAGGAGGGGCTGGATCCTGGTTGCTGCTGAAAATAGAGTCCTTAATTCCCATCTCCCAGGGTGTCAATCCCCTATCTGCAAGCCTTTCCTAAATGACTAGATGAGGAGAGCCAGCAGGGACTCATCCCACATGGAGCAGGAGCTGGGTGGCAGCATGACCACAGGACCCCAAGTCCCAGTTCCACACATGGACCCCCAAGTCCATCCCCTCCTCTCAGCTCTCACAGACAGCACAGTGGTGGGTGCTGAGTTCACTCTGTTCAGCAGCTGTTTCCCAGGTTCCCAGAGCTCCTCTAGGGGCTTGCCCAGGCATCCTGCTCCACAGCATGCCTCCAAGCTGCTGAATTCCCCTCTCATGTCTCCTCCTGTTCCTCCCCTCTCCCAGCTTTACTCTTTCTTCTCCCCAGGTGCATTCGGATGCTCCCAGGCACAGCTGGGCCACCCCTCCCCTCCATCTGCCCCTTTGATGTGCTGTATCAAGTTGCAAGTTTTGCAGATTTGGGTTTCTCCCTACTTAGGTGCTTCCCAGCTCTGGCCTAAGGCTCAAGACTGTTGCTGGTGCCTAGAGGACTAAACTGCCACAGCTCAGGCATCTCTGCCAGGGTCGTGCATGCTGCTGGGTGTCCTTGGGATGCTCAGTAAAGGCAGCAAATGTCACTATCCACACCAGCATTCGATAAAATCCAATGGCAGGAGGCAGGAACTGCTCTGCTCAGCTGTCTCCTTCCATAAATTGTCCCACATTCTGCTGCCAAGCACTATAAGCCAGTATCCTGATATCCAGCCTCTGTTCTTTAGACAGTGCTTTGGCAGAGGGTGTTGGGAAACAGGTATTTTAGCTGTAACATGAGCATCCTTCCCCTTTGTCCTCACATTGCTGTCGTCATCTTTGCTGTGAAGGACTCAGTATCCACAAGGCTTGAACACAAAGAAATGGTTGCTCTGACCTAGTAACTGGTCTAGAAGCTGAAAAACTTGATTGCTTTGATCTAGTAGCTGAAAAAAACCACCTTGGACAAGTCACTTAAGAGCTGCTGCCCCAGTTTCCCTGTCTATAGAGTGGGCACAAGGGTGTTAATAGCCCTTGTAAAGTGACAGGAGACACAGGAGTGACCCAGATAAGAACAAAATAGTTTGTTTCCTTCCCCATCACATACAGCCCATGTTTCCCAGGCTGTGCAGTGTCTCACCCTGGGCTGGTGTCCAGTTCAAGGGCCTCGACTTAGTGCCTAGGTCCATGTGGGTCCCTCTGCTCAGCAGGGGCAGCCTCATGTCTCTCCACATCTTTCCTCTCTTCTTGGCAGCACCATTTGAACCTCTGCTCCTTTCCCAGGGGGTGTGAAAGCCTGTTCCCTCAACTGCCTGGCTGAGGGTTTCAACTTCTACACAGAACGAGCCGCGGCCGTGGTGGACGGGACGCCGTGCCGACAGGACTCCAACGACATCTGCGTCAACGGCGAGTGCAAGGTGCTGCCAGGGGCTGGGACAGGCTTGGGGTGGGAAAACAGGACCCACTGATGTGGGTCAGGTGGAGGGCTAAGAGAGTTAGGGCTCTTCAGCCTGGAGAAGAGAAGCTCCATGGAGACCTTAGAGCCTCTTCCAGTGCTAAAGGGGCTCCAAGAGAGCTGCAGGAGGACTTTGGGCAAGGGCCTGGAGTGACAGGACAAAAGGGAATGGCTTCCCAGTGCCAGAGGGCAGGGATAGATGGGATATTGGGAAGGAATTCTTCCCTGTGAGGGTAGTGAGACACTGGCACAGGTTGGCCAGGGAAGCTGTGGCTGCTCCATCCCTGGGAGTGTTCAAGACTGGGTTGAATGGGGCTTGGAGTAACCTGGTCTAGTGGAAAGTGACCCTACCCAAGGCATGGGTGTGGAACAAGATGTTCTTTAAGGTCCCTTCCAAGCCAAACTATTTCATGACAAGAGGGCACAGACTGCCAGGGGAGTTTTAGGTTGGGTATTAGGAAGATATTTTTTACAGAGAGAGTAGTCAGGCATTGGATTGGGCTGCCCAGGAAGG